TGTAGGGTTGGAAGGGAATCCAAGGGTCATGGGACATTGCCCGAATGGGTCAATGCCCCATTGACAAAAAGATTATTCCATCTACTACACCTTCAGCTTGGGGACGCGGGTGGTGCTGTGGGTTAAACCACAGATCCTAGGACTTGCCAATCAGAAGGTTGGTGGTTCGAATCCCCATGACGGGGTGAGCTCCCATTGCTCGGTCCCTGCTCCTGCCAACCTAGCAGTTTGAAAGCACGTCAAAGTGCACGTAGATAAATAGGTACCGCTGTGGCGGGAAGGTAAACGGCATTTCTGTGCGCTGCTCTGGTTCACCAGAAGCAGCTTAGTCATGCTGGCCACATGACCCGGAAGCTGTATGCCGGCTCCCTCGGCCAATAAAGCGAGATGAGCGCCGCAACCCCAGAGTCGGTCACGACTGGACCAAATGGTCAGGGGTCACTTTACCTTTACTTTACCTTCAAAAACTGGGATATATGTTCTTAAGTTTTGGTCTTGATGGATGAAGTCCTTGCAGGGTTTCCCGTCCCCTTCTTCATATCTTTCTTTGTGGGAACATTACACGGATGAGGCTCCACATGGCAACTTTTAACATGAGCGGGATCAGAAGAGCAGGAGGGAATTAAATGAAATTCTGTCTGCTTAAAAGGAGATGCAGGATGCTACAGAAGCCCTTGAGACTAATGATTACATTCCACTCCTCAGTTTCTGTCTGAGCATTTTTCCTGCATTAAATAGGAGTGGGCAGGAGGTTGCGTCCTATCAATATTTCAAGCTTAGTTATCAGATCCAGAGGAATCCAAGCCTTTTCTGTTCCAGCACTGCGTTCTCGGGTTTCAGATTTTGTTTTGACATATTATCCCCTTTCTGTGCATTTCTGAGTGCCTAATGTTTTATTAAGCGTTATGTCAGATGGACGGGTATTTTAATATTTATTAATTTAATGAAGAGCCAACCAGGTTTTTGTCTTTCCCCCAATTAGAATAAAGAGCCACACTTATCTGCTATTGGTGGGTTTCTGATGTGGTGGGTGAAGGTGATGAAGAGAGGCACTATGTGCTCCACCACTCCTAAAAAAGAGGTTATGGTTAGTTTTACTTGTACCATGCATGAAGAAAAAAACTGCCCCAAGAATATGGATGTCACCACCAAATAGCATCTTCCTAGCCCTTACAGAGGAAAAAATCATGTTAATGATTTTGTCTCTCAGTATTTCCTAATCCTTGCATACGCATGGGACACCTGTGGCTGTTCAGATGCTGATGAATTCCAACTTGCATCAGCCCAATGGTCTCAGATAGGATGGGGACTGTAGTCCAACAACATCTGGAGGGCCACAGGCTCCCCATTCTTGTACTGGCAGACCCTTTTATGTTGACTGCAATATGTAGGTAACCACTTGGGTCAGTGCCATTCCTGTCCCTATGATGGGACAAATCCCCCCACCCTTTAGAAGAATAAGTCTTGAAGGACGTCCACCAAAAGAGAGGGGATTACAAAGGCTTCCTTCAATCCACTGGACCAATCAGCAGGCAACTAGGAGTGGTAGCACCCCTCTTCCTTCAACACATCGTCTGGCCCCCCTATCCACCCTCAGGTAGTGTGGACTAAGTAGGAGATTCAGAGGTGTTTTTAAACAGAGTTTGGATGGCCAACTGACAAGGATTCTTTAGCTGGAGTTCCTGCATTGCAAGGGGATGGACCATGTGGGGTACCTTCCAAGTCTATGGTTCTATTATTACCAGCAACTGGTATTCAGAGGCACATTGCCTCTGCAGGAGGGCAGTGCTATGTATGCTTAGATGGCTTGTCCTGTAGGTTGCAATCCTTCCACCGTGCCTACAGTCAGATTCAACTGCCATAGCTCAGTTGGCTTCTGTATGTGGAATGGGAAGGGGCACCATCTTGCCCTTTGCCTCAGACATCAAAATATCTCGAGCCGGCCCTGAAAGTTGCCCTGTGTGAAGTTCAGATGCATTTTTACTTTTTGCTAAAGCAACGCAGAGCTCTCGCTGAGAAACAGGAGAACAGCTCACCATGCCAGGAATGGATTTCTTAAAAAAACAAAAAAAGGTCCACCCATTCAGATGAAAGCTGCTGCTATAGATCAAGGGCAGAAAGGAGGACTTGATGTACTCAGAAACTCGTAGAAGACTTCTGAGCACAGTTTCAATGATGCAACACATTTGTGGCTCACCTATGCACATGTTGAGGCTTCCAGGCCCTCTCTGTGGATCAGCCTCCACCAACTTGGTGCCCTTCAGATATTTCAGACTACCACCAGCCCTGGTTGAAACTGAATCACTGGTGAGGGCTGCCTTGGAGGCAATGCTGCTCCTGGGGAATCCAGTGGTGGCAGGAGGGGGCTGCTACAGGGCATTCTCCATATTTCAAGCCAAAACTAGAAATCCATGGTTAGAATCTTGCATAGTTTTTGCTTTGCTGATGTGTATCCCCAAAGGATTGCTTTGAAGATGAAGACGAAGTGATCCAGGAGGTCCCCAATCCCCCTCCACCCCAATTCTGCAAGGGTACCATTCTTTTATTTCCCTGGTGGTCCTTTTGCAAAGTTATGATGGCATAATTCTTCTGCCTGTCTCCACAAAAGATTTGCACTGGGTGTGCGTGCATTAAAACGTCCACTTAAATCCAAGCAAGTCCCATTGGTTTTGATAGGGCTAGACGAGACTAAAAGGATTATGGACAGCAGCCAGTTTTATTACGTGATCTGATAATAATTCTTTTCTCCTTAGGTTTGTCTGTCCCCTGTATCCCACCTCACCCTGCTCTCAGTTCCTCCTAAAGGAGACTCTCTTCTGCATCCCTTATGGAAGCAAATGCAAACACAGCAGTGGTGGAACGATGGGAAAGTCATCAGGAAGCAAAGTAGTGATCGATCTACAATTACCGCTGGGTCTTGCAACAGTGGAAGCAAGACTAAAAATGGCAAAGAGGAAGGGGGGGGAATCAAGCTTGGGGGGAGGATAAATAAGGGGAAGAACAGCTGAGTATCTCCAGGTAGGCCTGGGAAAGACCCCTCTCTGAAGCCCCAGAGAGCCACTGCCCGTCATTGTTGACAATACTGAGCTAGAGGGATGCAGTAGCAGCTGGTGGGGCAATACAGGCAGGGTAGCATTGCTCACTTGGCTTCCCAATGCTATGAGGCACTGTCAGTTCCTAACAGGGAGAGGGGCAAGGCAGCAGGGAGCTTGGCAGAGTGTGGACCAGCAGTGGAGTCAATCTCTCTTAGTAACAGGCAGCACCATGCGCGGCAGGGAAACCAGGAGACTGATTCAACTCTGAAAGCTGCTACAGGATGGACCAATGGTCTGAATATTCATAAAGGAGCTTCCTATGGCTATCACTGCTATGTTGTGGCCTACCCTGGCTGGTTGGCTGGTGGTTAGGCTGAAAATGCCACTCTAAGCTCCTTGACAAAAGGGCATGATACAAGGCTAACAAACAAACAAATGTCAGGGTGATAGTGGCTTTAGAAGTGTTTTTAACTGCATTTTGCATGGATTGATAATATTTTTAAAATTTGGAGACTACACTGAAGTACATTTGAGCAGAGTGATAAATGAAAAATATGATCAGTGCATACACACATGCTACATAAATGCCATTTTCTATCAAATCAATGTGGATTATTAATAGGGATATAGGAAGCTGCCTTATACAGAGTCAGACCATTTATTCACCTGGCTGACTACTGTCTATAGCAGGGGTCAGCAAACCTTTTCAGCAGGGGGCCAGTCTACTGTCCCTCAGACCTTGTGGGGGGCCAGACTATATTTTGAAAAATAAAAATAAAAATGAACGAATTCCTATGCTCCACAAATAACCTAGGGATGAATTTTAAATAAAAGCACACATTCTGCTCATGTCAAAACACCAGGCAGGCCCCACAAATAACCCAGAGATGCGTTTTAAATAAAAGGACACATTCTACTCATGTAAAAACAGACTGATTCCCGGACTGTTTGTGGACTGGATTTAGAAAGCAATTGGGCTGGATCCGGCCCCCGGGCCTTAGTTTGCTTACCCATGGTCTAGAGCTACTGACAGTGGCTCTCCAGAATTTTAGGCAGGGAGTCTGTTCCAACCCTTCCTGGAAATACCCTTGGGGATTGAAACTGGGACCTTCTGCTTGAAAATATATTGCAGATTATTAATATGTTGCATGCTGCAATCTAATGAAGATATTTTACTGTTCTATATGTTCCCAGCAGGTGCCTGCAATCTACAGTGGCAAGCAAGATTCTAAGGATGGTGCAGGAGAGCAAGTTCATTGCAACTGCACCCTGGGTACCAGCCAGCTCCTGTTAAATCCCTTTGCTGGGACCCCTGACTTGCAGAAGCTGCAGAATGTGGCACCAGAGCCAGCTTCTGCAAGGATGACAGGCCAGGGACCCAGCTCCAGTGGGAGAAGCTGATGGGCACTTCCTGTAGCCATGTTGCACAGTGTTGGCTGGTTGGGGCATCCAATGGGCGTGTGACAGAAAGAGGTCATATGATTGCTTCAGCATGCATGCCCTGCCACACAGACCATGCCGCTCTCAGCAGATTTGCAGTGGCAAAGTTAAATGTGGGTGGGCACATATGGAACCCCATGTTCACTTTCTGCCACACAGGCTGAGCAGAGGTACCAAAACACCCAGCCCACACATATTTGATGCACCCGTTCAGTTGCATAGAGTGACCTCAGGTTTTGTCGGTAACATGCACTGCAGGATAGAGATAATCCATTTATTTGGCATCCCGAGAGCAATCAGCCCATGTGCTCCTAGCTGAACTGATCCTACAAGGCATATTTCACTGTGTGAGGCCTTGTATTAAAGATGAGACATGAATCAAAGTCTCCTTTAAACAAACTTATTTACTTTATGACATGTTTTCCTAAAGCAGCTCCTGCAGAAAAAACTGATAGGACCCTCCATAATCCACAGACCAGTTAAGTGACAGGTCTGTTGTTTCATCAAGGCCATGTTGAACGCAAAGGAGATGGGCTGTAGCTCCTTGGTAGAGCATCTGCTTTGCACGCAGAAGGTCCAGGTTCAACCCCCAGCATCTCCAGGTCGGGTGGGAACACCCCCAGTTTGAAACCCTGGAGAGCTGCTGCCAGTCAGTGGACAATATGGAGGCAGGTGCTCCAAAGGTCTGTCTCAGTGAGATTCCTATACAGTGGTACCTTGGGTTAAGAACTTAATTCGTTCCGGAGGTCCGTTCTTAACCTGAAGTACCACTTTAGCTAATGGGGCTCCCACTGCTGCCACGCTGCTGCCATGTGATTTCTGTTCTCATCCTGAAGCAAAGTTCTTAACCCGAGGTACTCTTTCTGGGTTAGTGGAATCTGTAACCTGAAGCATCTGTAACCCGAGGTACCACTGTAATGCTGTAGCATTGGGGACTGCAAAATGATGCTTCTGGTGTGAACAGACTTGCTTGTGCATCTTATCTACTGGGTTATAATTCTCCATTGCTACCTGTCCCTGCCCAATGCAACCTGCAAAGGATATGGAAATATCAGGACTATGAAACGCTGCAGTTAAGGCAAGGAGGCTGCTTTTTCTTCTTCTTCTTTACATGATCTGCCAGTGACATTATATAAGAACGTAAGGAGAGCCCTGTTAGGTCAGGCTAAAGGCTCATCTAGTCCAGCATCCTGTTCTCACAGTGGCCAACCAGATGCCCCTTCAGGGAAGCCCACAAGCAGCACCAGAGCACAGCGACATGTTCTCCACTAACTGGCATTATTCAGAGGCATATTGCCTCTAACAGTGGAAGTACAACACAGCTGTAGTGGCTAGTAGCAATTGAGTCTCCGCCTCCACCTCCTACGTGAATGCGTCTAAGCCCCTTTTAAAATCATCCAAGTTGGTGGCCATTGACGCAATATTGTGGGAGTGAATTTTGGAACAGGACTGTGTGGAAAAGTACTTTGGTTCATCTGTCCTGGATCTTCTAACAATCAGCTTCACTGAGTGCAGGATGGTGGGGCGGGGCAGGGAGGTGGGAAGAGAAATCATTACAGAACTTAATAGACTGCCAGATGAAAATTTGTCAGACAGGGTTCGTGATCAGCATCTCCATCCCTCTCCCTGCACATGCTAGCAGGGGTCACGATCCAATGGAATTTGGGAGCTCACTGATGGGTAAGCTCTGTATGCTGCCCATTCTTACCCACTAAATGCCACCCTAAAGCTGGCACCTAAAGCAGCTGCTTCCACCTTCATTGCTGCCTGGGTCCGTGGTTATTCATTTGCAGCGAGGGGCATCCCAGCTGACCTTGGATCCTGCCCTTAGCCCCCACACTTTTGGGGCTGGCAGGGGCCACTCGATGGTGGTGAGAGAAAGTTGCTCTGTTCATGGTCAGAAGTAGCTGCTGTCATTATTATTTCACAACCCCCAGGGCTCAGCTGCATCCTACTACCCCAATGAAAAAGTCTTTGGGGGGGTGTCCCCTTGGGGGCTGTTATAGTAAGGCAGGCCTTGGTCCACACACCCCAACCCAGCTGCATTCACTCAGCCAACAAGAAACAACAAGACACACTGCAAGCAGCACAAACACCTGCAGGCAGATATCACACAGGTCAAGCAACTGTTGTAGTGCAAACACACACACTTGTTCCCAGGGAGAGCGGACCAAGCCAGGACCAGGACCAGGGCAGTGCACAGCCAGCCCTTCCCTGTTTGTCTGTAGGTCTGTGGGTTTGCTTGCTGTGTTCCTGTTACAGGAAAGGCTGTAGCTCAGTGGTAGAGCATCTGCTGTGCATGAAGAAGGGCCCAAGTCCTGTCCCTGGCATCTCCAACTGGGAGTGCCCCTTGTCTGAAAGCTTGGAGAGCTGCTGCCAGTCCGTACAGACAATACTGGCTGACTCTGTATAAGGCTGCATCTGATGTAGTTACACTGCTGGTGAGTTGACTGCCTGGAAAACGAAGTTGCTTTTCTGTAAAAGGGAGAAGAAAGTCTGTCAACAGGAGCTGCTGTTCTCGATTTGCTTCCTCCAACTTGCCTCCTTCCATCTCTCTCTCAGCCCCACAAATCTGGCCTCTGCCTTTTGTTTCTGCTGCCTTTGCCTTTTCTTTTCAAGGCAGCTAGTCTTGCCTCCACCCTTTGGGCTGTTACTCACCAACACCCCCCCCCCTCGAGGGACAGATCCGGCCTTATTTGGTTTCATAACAATAAATCAAAATTTAGTTAACCGTTAAACTGGGAGGTGGTATTGCGAGGAGAGTTATGTCTGGAATAAAGCACAGCCCATTTGCTGAGGTTTTTCTGCTCCCAGCAAAGACATATTTTTCTGCCCAGGTAACCAGAAACAAACTGCAAATCCACCTGGGATTGCCTTCCTTGGGATTTTAAAATGTTTCTTCCATCAATGCATTCTGGGTTATTTTATTCGGAAACCGAGTGGTGAGACAGGCAAGCAAGGCTACAGATTTTTATTTTTTTTAAAAAACAGAACACAAACAAAACCAGCAACATATAAATGATACCACCTCCCATCAAAATTAATTTCCTCTATGGGGAATTAATAATTCAGTAGTTTCTTATATACTGTGTCCCAGGGGAGATGGGGGTGGGGACTACACTACAGTATACACACACACACACACACACACACACACACATATTTTAAATGTATTTTTTCTGAATAAACAACCACCCCACTTTGATCAAAGTTAATTTCCCTGGCACATAATACATAAAAACAGTTCGAGCCCTGTTAATATCTTTTTTGTAATAAGCAAGCCTCCCTCTTTTCATCAAAATTCATTAGATCCTGCTGTAGCCAGTGCGTTGGAGAGTGTGATGCTTCACTCTAAACACTGAAATGTAGATGTACAGATAGAATCTGCACATCACTCCGTATGTTAATCCCTCTCTCTTTCTGGATACAGGCAGATGTTTCCTTTGCACCTGCCTAGCTGAAGCCTCTTTATAGAGAGAGTCACACGGACTCAGAGGACAAACTTTGCCTGCATATTAACTTCTCCCAGCCCCCCCTCCCCGGAATTAACGCCCCTTTCTAACATCTAGTTAAGTTCTTGGCAACTTTGGGTTGAGCAAGACCTAGTGTGTGTGCAAGCGTCTTCTTGTGTGTGCAAAACTTTAGAAGAGGAGGGGAAATGCTGCGTCTATCTCTCCCGCCGCTCCCCGCCCCCAAGCAGGGCGCTGTCCGAGGTTCTCCCCGCAGGGAACAAGCCTGCTGCCCCGCGCGCCCTGTTCGTCGGAGGGGCGCGTTGCGCGGCGGATTTCTCCGCACCTGCTCCTCGGAGGGGCGCGGTGGCGGTCGGGCAGCGGGGTGGGGAGTGCAGACTTGCCTTCGTCAGATTTGCATGAAGAAGGCAGGCAAGGAAGTCGCTTTCCAGGCGCGGTGCTGCACCATCTTAACCATCCTGGGCCCCGGAGGACACCGACCCGCATCCCAAAAGCAGGGGCTTGTATTTTTTTGCGGGGAGGTGGGTCTCAGCGTCAGCCCTATCTTTTCCCTCCCTCCCTCTGGGTGCGGGGGGGGCGGGTTTGGCAGCTTTCCTACCATGTTGCTATGGCGGAGACGAAGAGGAGAGGGGGGAGGAGGAAGCCTCGCCTCGGTTCTGCCCTGCAGGCGGGGGGGAGCATCACTTCGCCGGGAGCCGCGGAGAAGGAGCAAGAGCAGGAGGAGGAGGAGACGGGGAGGGCGCAAAGGAGGCGGCGGCGGCGCCGAGGAAGGGAGGGACGGCGGGCAGCCCAACCCAGCTCGGGCTCCGCTCCGTTCCATGCGCGCCCGGGTCTCCCGCGGAGTTTCCCCACTCGCTGAGCGCCCGGAGGCCGGGCAAGGAGGAGGAGGAGGGAAAGCAACGCGCTGCCCGACGGAGCCAGACCAGGTTGTTGCTGCCGCTCCGCGAAGACGTCCGGGCGCTCGCCGGAGATGCGCGGTTGAGCGCGGGGCTTGCGCGAACAGCGGAGGCGCACAGCTCAGGTCAGTGGCAGGTCCGGGTCGCGGGGCTTTGGGTGCATGGAGGCGCACGCGGACTTCGGGGCAAGTCCCGCGGAGTGTCGTAGAGCTTGGTTCCGGGAAGCGCGCAGTCGGGCGGGCAGGCAGACGCGCAAGCCCGATCCTCTGCCTATACGAGGTATGCCTCTCTCTCTCTCTCTCTCTCTCTCTCTCTCTTGAAAAGGATAAGGCTGCGAGCCGGTACCCATTTACTTGGGAGCAAGCCCTTTTGAATTCAGCAGGTTGCGTTACGAGCCCCGTGGGTTTTACTCCCGCGTAACCCACACGTAAGATCCAGCCGGGAAAGGAGAGGTAACGGGACTCATGCTTAGGAGCGAGTCTCGCCACCTGACGCCGGGATCCCTCCGGGATTTGGTGTGGGGGGAGCAAATCTGTACGAGTCCAGAGGCTTGATTCTTCTTTACCTTCTCCCTCTTCTTATTTCTTCCCTGCCCTCAGGGGCTTCCTGGCTCGGGGCGGGGGGGGGGGGAGAAGTTTCTGCAGCTAACGCTTGAGCTTTCAGGGCTGCCCCGCGGCTCCCTCGCGCAACTTTTTTTTTGCTGGAAGGCAGAACCGCGCGAAGTGCGCGCAAGACGGTTTTTGCGCTTGGGCTCCTTGCTTGTTTGTGTGTGTGCCGGAGGGGGGGGGGGCTCCGGGCCGGGAGGTGTGTGTTTCCCACATGCATTTCTGTCGTTAAGTTCCGTGCGGGGTGAGGGCAGGTTGCACCAAGCGTTGAAAGGAGCTGGACGGGGCAAGGAATTTGTTTGAAAAGAAAGTTTGCAACGGGAGCTGGGAAGGTCAGAGTGCTATCTACGCATGCTCAGGGACTTTGCGACCATAAATGTTGGTGATCGCTTTATCTCGAGATGTACCGAGCCTCTAGCTCAGAAGGGTCCGATCCATGCCTGCCGTGTGCCCGAGTCTGTGGTGAGGAGGAGCTGGTGTTCGGCAACCCGAAAATCTGTAAAATGGGGATGTTCCTTGATGTCTCCAGGAAATATCCAGGCCTTGGATGAATATTCCTATCCAGCATCTGAGGGGAAGGCTCCCATTCCGGAGTGTTTTCTCATAGTGTAGAAATTCATTCCCACCGCC